CGCGTTTCATCTGAAGAAAAATGCTGCTGAAGCCACTGAAATGATTTGTGCTGCATATGGAGAGAACGCTGTAAGTCATGCAACATGCAAAAGGTGGTATCAAAAGTTTCGCCAAGGAGATTTCAGTCTTAAAGATGAATCGCGTGCTGGACGCCCTGAAAAGATTGAAACGGACGAATTGCAAGCACTGCTGGATATAAACTCTGCGCAAACTGAAAAGGAGCTTGCAGAACAGCTTGGCGTTACGCAGCAAGCGTTTTTTTTCGTTTGTTTTTAAATAAAGATTGAATTTTACAAAAAAAAGCTCAGAACTTTTTTGTACACCTAATATATATACTCGTATATATACTGTGACCGTATTCGTGAGCAACGGTACAATTTCGTTGCGTGCTCTTTATTAAATTTCTTAATTAAAGGAATTTTAGTGCGAGTTAATTCGACAACCAGACAGATGTTTCACAAATATCAGCAATTTCTCTAAATAAGTTGGGCGCCAGGTACGAGAGAGCGTGAAACTTTTTTGGTTGTTCGGAAAGTAATTTCGTTTTTTTTTTAATGAAAATGAAAGACGATTTTCTTATAGTGAATAAATATTTTATTGAATTATATATTGTCCATTCTGGTCCAATACCTTTTGCCATCTTTCTGGCAGTAGCATGATTCCACGCTCATAAAATTTTTGTTCTTTGCTGGCAAAAAACTGATCCAGGTGATTTTTGACTTCCTCATTTGAAGTAAAGGTTTTACCGTCTAAAAAATTTTGTAGAGACCGGAACAAATAATAATCAGAAGGTGTCAGATCTGGAGAATATGGTGGGTGTGGCAGTATATCCCATCCAAGCTGTAAAAGCTTTTGGCGAGTTACCAAACTTGTATGAGGTCTCGCATTATCTTGGTGGAACACTACACCTTTTCTATTGATCAATTCTGGCCTTTTCTGCTTAAGTGAATCATTCAATTTGTCCAGCTGATGACAGTACACTTCAGAATTGATCGTTGTGTTGTCCGGTAGAAGCTCAAAAAAAAAAAGATTCCTTTGAAATCCCACCAAACAGATAGCATCACCTTTTTTTGATGAATATCGGCTTTCGAAGTGCTTTGAGCCGGTTCATCTTTTTTACTCCATGATTTCTTGCGTTTAACATTGTTGTAGACAACCCATTTCTCGTCCCCAGTGATGATGCGCTTCAAAAATGGATCATTTTCTTGACGTTTGAGAAGCAAATCACAGACGTCAATGCGACGGCACAAATTTCTTTCCGAAAGAACACGAGGAACCCATATGTCGAGCTTTGAGATTAAACCTAGGCGTTTCAAATGATCATGAACGGTCGAATTCAATAAATTTAATCTCTCAGCGATCTCACGAGTTATTCGCCGGTTTGCATCAATTAATGTCTTTATTGTGTCTTCATCAGCTTCAACTGGCCTTCCAGAACGTGGTACATCTTCAACATCAAAATTGCCGGATCGAAATTCCACAGAAACCAGTTTTGGCACTGGCGTTCTATCAATACGAGGGTCGTTTGAAAAGTCCGTGCAAAAATAAAAACTACTTAATTTTTTGGGGTAAACTTTTTTTATTTTTCAACATAGTCACCTTTTAGGCTTATACACTTCGTCCAACGCTGTTCTAATTTGTTGATCCCTTCCGAATAATAGGATTTGTCCAAGTCTGAAAAATAGCCATTTGTTTCTGCAATCACGTCCTCGTTTCCATAAAATCTTTTTCCCGCCAGCCATTTCTTCATATTGGGGAACAAATAGTAGTCCGAGGGAGCCAAGTCTGGAGAGTAGGGGGGATGTGAGACGAGTTGGAACCCTAATTCCATTAATTTTGGGACCACAACTGCTGAGGTGTGAGCTGGTGCGTTATCGTGAAAATCACTCGACTTCCTCGATTCAAATGAATGCCAAACACAAACAAATAGACCGATCTGGCTGTAACTTGGTGTGTGTTCCTCCAAGAGATGCTACTAACTAAATCTAACCTTGATACGCGCCAGTAGTGCTATCTCTCTGACTTTGCACGGACTTTTCAAACGACCCTCGTACATCTTCTCCATACACATCGGATAATTTTTTTTTTGCTTGAATAGCATTTTTACCTTTTCGATAGTAAAAAAATAAAATATGCCGAAAATGCTGCTTTTCACTTTCCATATTTGATAGGGCACCAACCAAAAACTACTGCGTAGAATCAATCGAACTTTTTTCACAAGCAAGCCTTGCTATATCAGCTGTCAAAATATATAATGATTATGCGTGAAGTTGGCTTAAGTGTGAAGTTGGCTGTGAAAAAATACAATTAAGTCCTCTGTTGGGAAAAAACGAAATTACTTTCCGAACAACCCAATATTTACGCACAATTATAATTCGCAACGGCAACAAAGATGGATCGATACAGGTGGGAAAATTGTACGATAACGAATATTGAATTGGCAATTTATAATTTGAATCATAGTCAAAATTAATTTAGAATGCGCTTATAGCTCATTCAATTTCGAGCAAATAAAAAAAAGTACATTAAAATTGGTCAAAAATTAAAGCATCGGCCGAATTTTTCCGTCCATTGTGCGGTGCCTTGAAATTTAAAATTTTTTTAAATAGGTTTTTAAAAATAGTGTCACGTCTTGCCGTCTGTACAAGTTTTTTTCTACCTTTTACATTCTACGCTGACTTACTTTTGTTAATTAGTTTCGCATCATCCATTTAAAATATTCTAGTTAAATATTTTGCGCGAGTATTCCAAGCGAAAACTTATTCGTAATAGTATTGCTCTCTATCACTCCGGTACGACGTGACACATGCGTTTGATTGGCTATCGCGAGCCAATCAAAACATTCGCGAGACGCGTGCCATGTGCCAATGCCTGACGACGAGATTGTGAGAAGAGGTCCGCAGGCGAGGAAATCGTTCCTACATATTGAGGTCTCGCATTACTGCGTAAGAATCTGTAAAAACTAATTTGATTAAAGCGTTACAACTCTTGTAATCCCACGAAATAAACGTCGATTATATCGCGCACCAATCATAGCCCGCGACGCGCGTGTTGCCCGTTACTTGAACTTCCGCATGAGATTTCGCTCAAGCTAAGAATATTATTATTTTGCGGCCCTGCGGCATATTCATTACATTTTTATTTAGTTATCGTTTTCTTAATCGTTATAATTACTTTATTCGGCCGAAATAGTATAAGCGAACGCGAACTAGTCGCGTTAGTGAGCGCCAACCAATCATAAATCGGAGAAGGAGCGGCACGGATCAGGGAGAAAGACCTAAAAATTAGACTAACTAATAATTTCAAAATGTTATTAAATAATAAGAAATTGATTCGATCTTTTAAAATTACATTAAATTTGTTGCTTCCGTGCCGCAAATTCCAGTTTGATATGGTCAATATTTCTATGGGAAATTCAGTACTCAAATGTGTCACATACTTCTAATTTCTGGAAAATCGTGCCCTCTCTTCCTCCCGACTCGCGAGCGCCACCGACTAACGCCTACATAAACGCGGCGAAAATCGAATTCCGTGATCATTTTTTATTTAGCCGAATCTCTATTCGAATCGGAATCTGTCGAAAAACAGAAATTTTGGAATATCTCGCAATATGATATAATTCTTAAGAAAAAAAGATACAAATGTCTTAGTTCTTTAATACTCTGTTTTTCCTAATACTCCAAGGGACTGACCGCGCTTATAAAAGCTGCTCAGTCTATCCCTTTTCCGGAACTGACTGCGCTTGTAGAAGCTGCTCAATCTTTCTTTTCTCAGAATTGATCGCGCTTGTAGAAGCTGCTCAATTCTTCCTTTCAGTTATCCTTCACTCAATTCATATTAATTGTTAGTTTTTTTTATTTAAATAATTGCAATTCTAATTCAAACGGCCGCATTGGTAAATAAAAATTGCTTTTCTATAGAATGACAAAGAGAGGTAACCGCGCTGGTAGACGAGGATGTAGGTCACTATATATCAGAGGCTAAAGGCAGAGAGTTCTATCTTCTATCTTCCCGCAGGATTCCTCCGGGCCCGAGTCACTGCCCAGGGACCTTCAGCTCTCTCCGCCGGAACACTTCAAACCCTCTCGTACGTAGGTTATAACTCGGAAGTCTCCCGCGTCGCGCAAGGAGCGTTGTGAGGGTCGACGCCACTGCCCCCCCTTCTCGCCGGAACACGCGACCTATGACCATCTTACGTCAGGCCTCTAAGGCCTTTAAAATATCACGGTGACCCTTTCGAGTCGTTTCAAACGTCTCCGTCAATAATTGGACAATAACCCGTGCCGGCCGGTTACACTATTAATAAAGATGTAAATACTTATTTTGCGTTATATTCACTTTTCTTTTAATCCATTCTTCTTTTCTTTTCTAGTACGGAATGATGAAACGGCTTGAATTGCTCGAATCTATGGTAATCTATAGTAAATTGCTCGAATCTATTTTCTTATCAAATGAACGCCATTTGTCTGGACCAATTATTGTTCCATTCTTAGTACATATCAATCGAGTTTAATGAATATTCTAAATTTTGAATAAATAATAATTAATTATGCTCAGACGACCTTGTATTGATTTACAAAAATATAAAATTTCAATATGACAGAATTTAAATAATTAATATTAATTCTTAATATATTTAATTTAATATTCTTAAGAAATCTTGTAGCATGCGATACACCGACGCTTGAAGTTTTACGGTTTGCCGCTTGGGCTGAGATCTCTGATCGTATCTCCCCTATTCTAAAACAATCCCGCCACTCTTCCAATCCCAGTCTTACCCTCGCGTTGCGTCGTACTGTCTCTATTCCTGACTTGTAATCTTTCTATCTTCTTCAATTTCAATTTTTGCGCATAGGAAAAAAAATATTACACCGCCGTAACAATAATCTTTTAACAGCTAGAAATATTCCTGTAAACTTCACAAAAATAAAATTTTCACAGGAAATTGACAGCGTTACAAGGATACGCATTGCGATGACAGTTGACAACTGTCTAAATAAAAAATATATAAGTAATAATAAATTTATTTATTGCATCGAATATTACAAGAATAACCAAATTTTACAAAATATTTCGAATTTCAGTCTCATATAATCTCAACAAGCTCTGTAAGTTATGCAAGTTAAATTTCTTATTGAAGCGATTTAAGTAAAGTACTTTTATTTACATTGAGATGCATTTTTTGTATTTGCCGATAACTTGGATAATGAATTGTTTTTGATTTTTGTCGTAAGTTAATTTACTATATTTAGTAATTAGTTTGATACCTCAACTTTTCGCGGCATAATTCGTCATTTCGCGACTCTCAATTTGTTTATTAACAAACCGAACTAATTTTTATCAGCATTCCATGCAGATACATTGATGTTAAGAAAGGCACTATCAATGCGATATCTGAGTGGAATTCTGATAAAAATTACCGGCTTGCAATTTATAAAAAAATCTCTGAATAATAGATAAGAAAAATGAGTCATCCATAACTCTGGCAATGACGCCAATGGATCTGGAAAAAAATGTCATTAGGTACGCTTGAGAAATTAATTTACAATGCCAAAATATGTAAAGTTACAATAAAAGCAAAAGGAGGATTTTTCATGCGAAAAAATTAAGTTATTAAATTAAGTTATTAAATTATTAATAAGTTTTCTAATCTATGACACAGATATTTTATTTATTTTATAGTTAAAAAAACCAAATTATTGCAAACAATAAAAATCTTATTTTAGACCTAAGTGAGAACACAATCGATAAACTGGAAGCCGGTCGAAGCTAGATCTTTAATGCTTTAAATAATTAAATTATTTAAAACATTAAAAGTGAATTATATATATATA